AATTTATAAAATCAACGGTAATAAATTATTACACTGAACCGCGACTTTTACGTGTTTCTGATCAAAATGACCAGAGGAACAGTGAAACAGTAAACAGCGAGTGCACCTACATTCTTTCCAATTGATTAGAATGATTAACAAAAGAAATACAATTTTTGTTCAACATGTTTTTAATACAATCTTCTTAGAAAATTGTTATTTCGCATTCCGAAGATCCGCGGTCTAGTTATTATGAGAACATTATCGACGGACGTGCGAGATATTTGCAAATTCAAATATCGTGAAAAAATACTAATTCAGCGAGTCAGTGATTTACCGAGTCACCCCTTACAACGGTCGGGTCAAGCCGGATAAGGCTAATGATGCCATTATAAAATGAAACCGAAGACGTTGCCGAACGAACGGTGTAGGAAATACGGGGCGGCTATTGAATTATTTAATATTGTTCGGTGCACGGGATTAACAAAATGCCCGTAATCTCTAAAAGCAGGTCACGGACTTGCGGAGCCCGTTTGCCGGTTCCCAGTAGACCATTCACGTGTTTTCTGCTGCGACTCACGTGTATCACGAAGAGAAAGGGAACTGATAAATTACCACCTAATTAAACATCACCTGCCAAATGCTCGACAGGCTTCAGTTCTAAAGAACTCGAAAATATTTCTTCTAGGTTCTACAAAAAGATCTAATTGTCGGAAAATTGCTGAAATCTTTTTACAGCAAAAAAATGCAGCTATGGCCGGTGTAAAAAAAGACAATTATCTGAAAGGAAAATGCTTTAGGATAAATAAATTCAAAGAACATTTGTTCAGTACGAATATAGATGTCTTGTCTTTCAAATCGAAATAAAATTCTACGCCATTCTCATCGATGCTTGAGCATTAAATAAACTAATTGCAGTAGTACGATAAACACAAATTTCATTTTCGTCCCATAACGAGTGGAACCATATAGTTATTCCGAACAAGAAGGTACTGTATGCAAAAATACCACGACGACGAGAGACGTTGATCGGATGAAACGTAACAAGTGATAATTACCTATTACCCTGGCTGAGATTGAATCTTCCGTTCCTCCAAAACGGTAATCAGTGTGTAATCGTATGCCGCACGGCACAGGCGAACAGGGTGCTCGAAAGTAGTAGGCGGAGGAAAATCGTGTTTATTGGAAGCGAAACCCATTTACTTTCGCAATGGTTAGTCACTAGCATCAGATTCGGATGCACCACGAGCTATACCTATAAAACAAATATGCCTAATGTTACTACGCTGTGATTGAACCACTTCAATGATATCGTATCGATAACGTTATCGAATGAATTATAATCGTTCTCAGGTATTCTATTATTTCGTAAGAACTTTCGCGGATCTTCGTGTGCCAAGCATGAATCCGAAAACTGTCTTCCCCCGTCATCCCCGATTTTTCAGTAATTCGTAAACCCTATTTTCTCAGACTACGAAATTTAAAAAAATAGATTTACGTATACAGTGTAAGAGTACAAAATTCTAATGTGCAAAAGAAGTAAAAAGAAATTGTTCTAGGATGAAAGAAGCCGGACTACCATTCCAGCGTTAAACGAAAAATTCGTCGTGCTTACGTCTCGATTATTTCGAAGAAACTAGATATACCGAACAAAAAGCTGGTTTCAGATTCGCACTCGGGACGCGAAGATCCACGAGAATCCTCTACTAGCGTCGTAACACGTAATATCGTATTACATTTCTAAACCGACACTCGCTTTTTGTCGCTATCGACTATGCATTTATATTATAACCATCCTTATCGCGGATTGCAATTCGTAATGAGGAGTGAATTCGACAAAGCGTTATTATCGTCGAATCGACATGTTCCGAGTGTCGGTTCACCGGACGAATAAAAATGCTTTACCAATGCGCTGGAGGGACTGCTATCCTATGTACACGCACACGCACACACACACACACACACACACACACACACACACACGGTTGCTATTACTTTTTGCACACGCCCCTGGTATTACTGTACGAAAAAACGGTCGATAGTAAGAATATTTTCGCTGCCGGTCACTGGAAACCGGTCTCGACCAAGTATGTACTGGCCTTACCGTTTTCCTTCTGCCGCTCACGACGCTGTCTCACGCTATTAACAGCTGATACACGTGTTCCCGCGCTCACGTGCACCTCGGCTATTGCTACCTGTATGCGTTCTATAGATACTCATACACGGCTATCCTCTATACATATATATCTTCGACGCGCGACATGCGTCATCGTCGTCGCAAGACGTTCTCTCCGCTTCCCATTCCGCGAAAAATGTCGAGACCACGGGATCGGATTTCTCAGCTATCAAGCGCGAATGGACTCGTTTCAGTTAACGAAAAATGAAATTCTACGATAAATCGCGTGTTAACTTGATAATCGAAATGTCCGAGGGTACTCTCTTCGTTCGATATCCTGCGAATGACGCGCAACGCGCACGGTTCCTTGCTCTTGCAACGCCTGTCTTCTTTTCAATCTTCTAGATAAGACGACGATCGAACGTAGGATACATTTACTTCGACTCGGATTCTTCGGGCGAGAGCATTACGTAAAATTGAAAACCACGTCTTTCCAGGTCATTTACCTTGTCCGAGCCGATTAATAAGATTTCGTTAAGATCGTAGGATTCGGTGAGGCTTCCTCCTCGTGTCTTCTATCCTCGAAGCTCGCATCGCTTTTCATTTATGTAATCGGAACGGTACAACGAGCGAAAAAAGAAAAGAAAAAGAAAATCAGTTTTACGGAAGTTTCATCGAAACGCATAATTATACATATAAGTCGAGTGTTTATTCGTAGGAGAAGAAGAAAGAGAAAACGAAATAATAACGAAAACATTCATACCACTTTACGCGAATGTATTTACCCTGTGCGACGTTACGTTGATCGCTGTTCGCTGATTTCAGACCGAGACGCAGTTGTGCGATTCGTGAGAAAATGACAATACTGGTGGACGAGATATCGGAGATTATTTGTAAGAACAAAAAAAAGGAATGGTTAATGTTGGAGCGAGGAGTTAAATGTGGAGAAGCGGTTTTCACCTGAATTTTACGTGCTGTACGTGACACGATGAACTAGCATTGAAGCGACGTCTCCGAGCGATTGAGAGCGACTGGAGATGTGTTGGGGCTCATTGTCAGAAGCGTCCAGTAGCGTTCAGGAGCGGTACAATTTGAAACACCTCTGCAATCGATATTTATATAAGACTCCGTTAATGCGATGACGAAATATTTCCGCATGAAAAATTGATTATGCACACGCGCGAACAACGCAGTTTCAACATTCGGGCAAATAGTTTAACGCGAAACAGAGAAATACCGATCTTCGATATTCCCCTCTGTGATACGTTGTCGATCACTATGCGATTAAAATTGTTCATACATAGGTCCGTCGGTTTCTCACGTAGAATTAAAGAATTAAACATTGAACGGCGATCTTTCACCCGACGTAACACGATACCCTAATGTTTTGATGCTTTGCACGCGTTTCTAAGCGGTGTAAGCGACACTTGTGCGACGTAAAATTTCGCGTACCACGAAGTTAGGCGCGTGAACTTCGCTTTGAATGACCATTTTCTTCTAGAAACGTACGGAAGAATAAAGTTCGTTGGAAAACCTCACTTAAAAACGCCTAGCACCGAAGGAACGTTTCAGATGAGACGATGATTCCGTTCAGATGAGACCCATGACTTGCTTCGGAACATCACGTAGGAACTGAAAGAACATTGATTATTAACGATACGATTCTTTAAATCTGTTGTTGAGCAACATCGCGTAGCATGTGCCGTAACGGAAGCATCTACGTTTCGAATCTATCTGATACCGTTCGATCAACGACCTTAGGTCGATGCGTTCGATCTATTGAATATTACGAAACGATCGAATTCGTAGAATATTCCTGGTTTTGCGAGCCGTGATAGCAAACAATAATCTGTTCGAGTAAAAATTCTATTCTCAAATTACTGAAAGAATTAACATCAGAATATTATAAATAAATCGCTTTACCGACACTGTAAATTCAGCCTCCCCTCTGTTATGGACAGATGTAGTTCACCAGCTGACCGTTCCATTTAGGTAGAGTCCGCTATTGACCACAGTACATTTTTGTAGAGTCGGTAATTCAGATCTTGGGTCAAAAAGATGCATTGTATGCAAAATCTGTGTAAAAATATTCAAACGAATATTTAAAGCATATTTAACTAAGAGTAAATTAATTATAATTGTTATTACATAGGGGAATGCTGTTGCTGCGTGACCACGTGGGCGTATGTAGTTATGTTAGTGCTACTGTGCTATATTGACCAATGGCGATAGGAGGGAAATTTGAATACAAAATATCATGTTTAGGCAAAGCCTGTATATTTAATAATCTTGAATCCTCTACCACTGTTCGTCGGATAAGGACCTGTCGTCTGCTTCTCTCTCTCTCTCTCTCTCTCTCTCTCTCTCTCTCCATCACTCAGTCCCACGAACCGCAGTCTTCACGCGTAACACCCGTGCACCCCTTGGCGGGCCTTTTATTCTTGCGCTGCAACCGGAAGAAGGGTTACCTGACGAGTCAATCTCGAAAGTAGAATATGAGAAAGCTTTCCAATGAATAAAAGAGTAATATATTCTTATATCTTCGTTTACCTTACTGGAACGTGTATGCTTCATTGCGGGAAAATGTACTGCTTCACAAATTAGACCTCTGTAAAAGTTAAGCAATTTCAACGACTTCTATATACAATTCTATCTGAAATTTGGTTCGTTCACGTAGGTGAACTACAGACTGTTCTTGCGTTTAAACCTGCCTCATTTAAAAACGTATTGTATTCGGATCGCTTCGATCAAAGATGCCATTAGATCGACTTTGTTGTAGCGACAAAATCGCCGCCACAAATATTCGGACAGCCGATCGGCGAAATCTTCATCTATTCTTCTAGTGTTCGTGCCATCGCTTCCTATAATTATAAATTTCGATTTCAAATAATCATGACACGAGAGTACAATATAAAGCGAAGAGAATGCAATGAACATAATTTAAATTTAACTGTGATTTATCAATTACCAACTAACTCTATACTGTGGTTCACCGTTTTGTGTACGTAACCCGCGGCAGTGAGACCCTCGTAAATGCGAGAGCGGTCCGTCTGAATCTCACTGCCGATGGCTATGTACTCTTTTATGACGTCGATGATCGTTTCGGGTGTTCGGTTCTCCATTACCACCATGCGGCAGTCGGTGGTCTCAACGTCGACCATACCAATGATCCAGTGGCCCTCGACATTGCGGCCACGATTACATTTCCGCTTGCCAAATTTGGCTTCGTCTATCTGTGAAATAATACGAATCAAACGTTTCGAAAGTTGCGCGTCTCCAAGATCTCCTAGAAAACTTAACGAATCGAATCGACGCATTGCTCTGTACCTGAATTGTAACCGGTTTTCCGGCTGCCGAAATCCCCCCCAATTTCGGCTTGTCCAATTGCATCTTCGGGAAATGGTCGACGATCATCTCGCGACAGTAGCGGAACCATGCAGCAATCGTGGACGAACTTAAAGTCGATACATGATCAGTGTCCACATTGAAATCGCACAATTCGTGCGTCGTATAAGCATAGGAGAGGTCCCGCGTAAAGCAGTACATTAATCTGAAGAAATGCACAATTCATGAAATCGTACGAATGCGCCAATTACCGTAAAAAAATTACCTTATAGCCTTGTACAGGGGCAAACGAATATGCTCGAAAAAGGAATCGACCATCGCCGAGTACTGACGGCAATTCGCGCGACCAACAGAACATCGGAAACGGCCAATTCCATGTTCCGCTGAACTCGAATGAAATTTCATCGGCTTTCGGTGCACCCTGCACATCATCGACCCACGCAACAGCCGGTGCTCGCGTGCCCAGACGATAGCATCTTGATTTGTCGTCGGTAAATTCGCAAAGTTGTACCTCTTATTTTCCATCTTTGTTTCAACGGACACTAGGAATACGAATATCTCGAAGATGGCTGGCCGGCCGTTTTTGCGCGCCCGTGGTGCCGTCTGGCGGGAAGCTTTCAAAATAAATCTTGAAAACAGTTTCCGAGTCAATTGTCAAAATTCTATTAAAGTATGGATAATGGAACGATTTCTCGCGGACCTAATGTTTACGCTTCGATAGTTTATCTTTATCTCGAGTTGCTTAGTAGTTAATTTTGTTTAAACATTAGATTAGTAAGATAGACAAGAGAGTTACCAGAAGGTTTCATTAGCACCTAAGATTTATCCTTCTAAGACCTAATATTTATCCTTCGATAGTTTATCTTTACCATTAGCAACAGAAATTCTTATAATTATTATTAAACAGCTAGAAATAATAAATATATTGATAGAATATTTTCGATGTAACGATTCTTCAATAAATTCGTGCTTTAAAAATCACTTTATATGTTCGACATTATTAATTACTTCCTTTACGAAACGATACGACGAAATAGCCACGAGAATATTTAATAAAACACCGAAAAGCAATCAATTTATTAACGAAGCTCGAAACATTCGTGCTCGAAAAATTGCTCCATATGTCTGATTCTACCGATTATTTTCACTAACAAATTAAATGGCAAAATAGCCGGTGGAGTGCTTGACCATACTTCTAACAAATAGAATTGTTGCAAATATTAAGAAGCGAGAAATAGTAAATTTATTAACGAAGGAAATTTGATTTAATAACTCATCGATCGATTTGTGCAAGTCTCTTGTTAATTACACCTCGTTGGTACTTTTCATAAACAATTTAAGCGATGAAATAATTTATCGGGCACCGGATAGCATTAGTGGAAAACAAATTATCGCGAATATTAAATAATTGAAAATAATCGCAGTTATCGATATTATCGATCGCCGTCGATCGCGCGATCGTCGATCGTCAAAGTCATTGGGGGGG